CACTCGCTTGTGTTATAATGGAGTGTAATGTCCTTTAAGTTTCTTACTAGGTGCCCCTGGAATATTTGACTCTCTTGACTTGGAGTGCTGAGCCTCCAAGGCTTGAGCTCAGCCAGGGAACCAGATAGGTGTTTATGGTATTCAAGGAGGCAGCTGAGAATTAGGAAGGCCTAGGAACTAGATTTGGTGATGCTGAGGGGAAAAGGGTCTAATTTTCTTGACTTGATGCCACACTTTAATAAAATCATATTTTGCTAAGGATTGATATCTCAATGTTTTAAATTTTCACTTGACAATATCACGCAGTGGTTATGTGTATCAGAAACATGGAAGCTTCTGCTTTGTTGATGAGAGACTCTAACCCAGTCACCTTCAACACTCCGTTCTTTCCCCATGGCCCATATCTAAAATTTTAACTTAGTTACTCTGATACCAGCAATTCCATACAAATACCAACCAATTTTTAGGTTAACCTGTAAAATACCTAGTAGGTTATTAAGCAATGCCTTCGCTTTGTTCTGGACATAATAGAATAGTAAGGTTTTGTTGTTCAAAACAGTTATGATGAGCCTCTTCCTTTAGGCTTATGCCTGTAATCTGGGCTATCCAAGAAGCTGAAATCCGGTGGGATTGTGGTTCAAAGTCAGCCAAGGTAGAAAAATCCATGAAATTCCATCTCCAAGATAACCAGCAAAAAGCAAGACTGGAGACATGCCTCAACTGGTAGAGTACAAGTCAAACAAGCAAGCTGAACAAGTTCAAGGCACCTCCGAGTTTAAGCCCCAATGCTGGCAAAAAAAAAAAAAGGTCATAATACATCCTCCCTTTTCTATATCTTTTTGGCGCAGTATTATAACTAAGGTGTCTTTCTAGTCTGCCCTAAGCAGAGAGATTAAAACCACTGTCTGACATACTACAAAGATACTAATTTACCTTAAAATTACCTGTATTAGACAGTTTTACAGCAGAATTTTCTAGAAGCAATTAATTCTCTGGACATTTCAAAAGGATATAAATCTTTCACAAAGGAATTTTAAGTAATTATTGAGTTAACTAGGGAAAAAAATCCACTCTGTGTTCACTTTCAGAGGCATGATTATGTAGGCTTTTTAAGAGAAATTACTGTAATTTGTAAATTTTGACCAACGATACTAGTCATATCCTTTTTTTTCTGAGCAAACGAAGTACTATGAGTTTCATTTACTAAATAATAGAATATAATGTAGAGAGTTTATGTCCTGTCTCCCAAAATGTCACATGAAAAAATAAATCCTTACGAGACTGTGTGTTTATTTCGCTAGGCTGCATCTTGAGACTATATGAAAAACTGTCACAGTGTTTCTTAAATGAAGAAGGATGTCATAAAGTGAAACAGGGATAGAATCATATGCATTTGCTCCCTGGTGGTCGTTGGTGGTTCACGCCTACAGTGCTAATTCCTCAGGAGGCTGAGGTCTGACAATTGTCGTTTGGAGTCAGCCTGGGCAGGAAAGTTCATGAGACTCTTATCTCCAATAATTACCAAAACAACAACAACAAACAAACATGTGGAGCTACGGGTCAATTGGCAGAGCTCTAGCTAGCCCTGAGTGCAAAAGCTAGGGGACAGCAGGCACAGGCCCTGAGTAAGCCCTAGTGCTGGCAATATCTCTGTCTGTCTGTCTGTCTGTCTGTCTGTCTCAAAAAAAGTTATAGAGTCTTAATGATGCTACATTTTCTTTCTGATAAATTTTTTGTTTGCACAAATATTTCAGAATGTTAAACACATTGCATAGTGTTTATGTTCTTATGTAAAATGTGATAAATTCCTGACTTTCTTCCACTTGGTATGAATCTAGACAGTTTAAAAGGTTTTGTGAGTTGAATGGTATTTTATTTGAATCTGTTTCAGGATCGAAGCAAACGCTTGGAGAAAGTCCATGTGGTTATCGGACCGCAGTCATGTGACTTGGATTCTCTCATTTCTGCGTTTACGTATGCTTACTTCCTAGACAAGGTGAGAGAAAAAGGACTCTGCCTTTTATATGTGAACTGTTGTGTAACTTTTAGGAATAAGTATTTTGAGCCTGTCATTGGTGGCTCACATGTGTGCTACTCCAGAGGCTGAGGTCTGAGGATCATAGTTCAAAGCCAGCTAGGGCAGGAAAGTTTGTAAAACTCTTATCTCCAACTGACCAGCCAAAAGCCGGACCTACAGCTGTGACTCAAGTGGTAGAGTGCCAGCCTCCTATGAAAAAGTCACACAAGAGTATGAGGCCCTGAGTTCAAGCCCCAGTACTGGCATCACACAAAAAAGAGAAAATATTTTATGCGGAAAAAAGCCATTAGCTTAAATGATCATGTCCTGGTTTATTGTTTCAGAGAATAAGTTATTATAATTCATTAATCAACACGTTACAGAGTAATTCTGATATGTTAAGTATCAATCTAGGTATTCTTTATTGATTCTCGTCATTAAGCCTTGTTTTAATATAGTTACTGTTTCAAATAAAAATTTTTATAATAGCTGAGTATTTTTATGGAAATGAAGAGAATTAACAAAAGAAAAATGATCAGAATTTATTTGTTCTATTACTCAGCGGTATAGCCTTGCCCTTTGGAGAAAAGTAGGTACAGAGTAAGTTGTCTGAACACTCCATGAAGTAGAAAGCTTAATGGCTAGCATTTTCAGACACAGAAGTATTGCTTGTCTAGTCTTTATTCTATAAGTCCTTGTTGAGTTTTATACTTTGCCCTGATTTTTCTCCACAAGGTCATTCTCAGTAAGTGCCACTCTCCCTTGAGGGAGAAGCTTTCTATTCCATAAAGGACCGGCATGCCCAGCGAAGTGGGAAAGCTCTTCTACGAAATTTAAAAATTTCCCTTCCCAGCTCATACGAATGGGCTTTATTGCCTTAAAAGCTTATTTGAAAGTGTATTTTTTCAACATTTGGGTGTATTTTCAAGGACTTCATACCATTGTTTCAAATGTTCCTGAGTCTGGTTTGTATTATTCCAATTTCTGTTGGAGCCTGAGCCCCGGATAAGATGCCTAGCTGCTCTAGAGATAGTTAAATTCTCACAAAGCCAGTCTTCCAGAATCAGCCGTGGGTGGTCAGCACTGCTTTAGGGCAGCAGCTGACAAAAATGATGATGGAAATATTCCCATCTCTACATGTGGGCTTTAGATCAAATCTATCTTAAAATTTCTTGCACTTTACAAGGGAGATTAATTGGTTTGAGGAGAGAAACGTGCTCATGTTAGAACATGCATATTAACACTAATCTTAGTAACCTTGTTTTTATACTCCCATAGGAGAAAAAAAAATGTTGTTTGTCCAGAGCACATAGAGTTGAGTGAACTGGACTAATTTTTAGACGGATCGTGGCATATGTGTTTTAAAGAAACTTACAAACCGGATGCCAATTCTAGCTATTCAGGAATGCTGAGATCTGAGGATCGTGGTTCAAAGTCCACCCAGGCAGACAAATCCACCAAATTCTGATCTCCAAGTAACCTGCCAAAAGCTGGAGGTAGAGGCATATCTCAAGTGGTAGAGCACCAGCAACGAGGGACAAAGCTGAGTGGGAGTTTAAGGCCCTGAATTCAAGCCTCAGGAATCCCCTCTCCCCAACCCCAGATTATTTTATAATTGTAATGCAACCAATAGCAGTTATGATGTCTTGAATGAATATATGACCTCCAACCGAAGAAGTAGGAAAAGCAAGTATGAGAAATGCAAGATAAGTTGATCCATGGATTAAATAAGTAGACGCAGACAGATGATTCTCCTCTCCTTCAAAGGAGGGTGTTAGGCATAGACACAAACGTGGCATTAGAGAAGGGATTGTTGTTCCACTCCTTGGCCACTGTCTTAGGGTAATCGAGCCATGCCTGCCTACTGCTGGTCGCCAGCTCCATTGATGTTTTTCCTGAGTACCTACCTTCTCCCTTCCCCTCAGGCAGGATAAGCACCGGGCGTGGCAGCTCCACCTGTATGAACCTACTCAGTCCACCTCCCTCTGGAGACGAGGAAGGCTTAAGTGTAGGGAGGACAATGACTCTCTCCAAGCTCCTTAGCAGAGACTAGGGTAGAGCCTACTTCTTCCAACTCCAGCTTTACAATCGGTACTGTGTGGGCAGGCTCAGGCCTGACGCCTTTGATGCACGCATTGGTCCTTCTCTCCCTCAATATCAGAAATTAGATAGAACACCCAATCAATTAGGAAAAGTAACTTTCCACACATTAACCAGTAATAAATAGCATGTGCATGTGATTCAGTATTAGCATTACAGATGAGAGAAAAACCACCTCGTTGGACAGTTTTGTGCTTTCTGCTCCTCCTCCTCCTTCCCTTCCTCCTCCTCCTCCTCTTCCTCCCCCTCTTCTTCCTCCTCCTTCATTTGCCAGCCCTAAGGTTTGAACAGTGCCCTAGGCACTGTCCCTGTGCTGCTTTTGCTCAAGGCTAGCACTCACCACTTGAGCCACAGTTCTGTTTCCATTTCTTGGTAGTTTATTGGAGATAAGAGTCACACAAACTTTCCTTCCTGGACTGTTTTGAACCATGATCCTCAGATCTCAGCCTCCCAAGTAGCTAGAATTACGGGCATGAGCCACTGGCACCCAGCAAGGCCCTGTCTTCTTAGTGCTAGAAAAGGGAGACAGGCAAATCTGGCTCCTAAATGAGTCTCCACTGGCCTGAAGTGATTTCCATACTTCCATTGTAGCAATGCCAGGTCACAGATGACACCTCTGAGTCAAGAGTGCTAGATACTCTTGAGTAAGTGAAAGCTTTGACTGTAACAGGCTCAGACTTCGGGGTGGGAAGCATTTGATCTCCTCTCTCCTCTTTTCTCTCGGTAGGTCAGTCCCCCTGGCATTCTGTGTTTGCCAGTGCTGAACATCCCAAGAACTGACTTCAACTACTTCGCCGAAACCAGGTTCATTTTAGAAGAGCTGAGTATCTCTGAGTCATTCCACATTTTCCGAGATGACATTAATCTGCATCAGCTAAATGATGAAGGCAAGTTGTCCATGACGCTTGTTGGTAGCAACGTCCTTGCAAGGTAAGGAAGGCTGGCTGCCGTGGTCCTTAAGGAAGGGTCTTCTGGGCAGTTGTCACCTTGCCTCAGGATGCTTGTGGCTTGAGATGTTTTTAATGTAGAGGATGATTGGATAAAAAGATTAAATTTCTTTTTGTCCATCATGGGGTTTAAATTCAGAGCCTGGGTGATGTTCCTGAGCTTTTTCAGCTCAAACCTAGCACTTTACCACTTTGTGCCACAGCACCACTTCTGGTTTTCTGGTGGTTAACTAGAGATAAGAGTCTCACAGACTTACCTGCCCAGGCTGGCTTTGAATCATGATCCTCAGATCTCAGCCTCCTAAGTAGCTAGGATTACAGGTGTGAGCCATTAGTGCCCACTGGAAAAAAGTTGGGCTTTGCCAACTTCTTATTTTTACTCTTGCCTTTGAAATATGACTTCTTTAAGGGGAAAATTCTTGTAGCGTTTTTCCAAACTTGTAGTTTTAAGGCATTGTAAACAATTTTTAACATTATATTTTTATTAAGTAGTTGTACAAAGTGGTTACCAATCAGTTTGTAAGTACAATGTATCTTGATTGATATCACCCAACAATTTCTTGTAGCCACACAAGATTCCTATGTATTGATGCTGAAATATGTAATGAAATTAAAATGAAACTCTAGATAAACTTGAAAGATAGTTAAAGAAATCTCAGATGTAAAATGATCAAATAATCTGTGGAGATGGGCCTTGAAAATAATCTAACCCTTAGTTTATTTTTTGCTAAAAAGAAAAGGGTAGAGTTTCTTTTTTTAATTCATGTAGCGCAAACTCCTTATGGATAGGAAACTCAAGACTTAGTGAATGCCATAAATGGCTTGTCCAAGGTCCCATATGCACTAAGTAGCAGTTCGAATTAGAACTGGCCCTTCTACCTCTTTCATTGAGCAGTAAAGAGACTGACTAGTGAAGATTCTGACTTAGAATCTGAAGATACAGAGAGGCTAGGCACTGGTTGCTCATATCTATACTCCAAGTGACTCAGGAGGCTGAGAGCTGAGGGTTGAGGTTCAAAGCCAGACCATGCAGAAAAGTCTATGCAATATTTTTTAATCTCCAATTAACAACAAAAAGCTGGGAGTTGAATGGTAGATCTAGCCTTGAGCATAAAAGCTTAGGGACAGTGCCCAGACCCTGAGTTCAAACCCCACGACTCACATAAGCCCTCCCCCACAAACACAAAGGTAAGAAGATATACAGACAGGAGTAATACATCTGCCTTAGGAGACTTTCTCAAGGGCTGTTGGCACAAGTTCTCTACAGCTGTTCAATGAAGTGTTGCCAGTTAAACACCCCCTACTCTGACATGTTAGTTTTTCTGCACAATTTCAAACATTTTACTTATTTTTTTTTCTGGTTGTGGGCCTGAACTCTGGGCCTGGGCGCTGTCCCTCAGCTCTTCAGCTCAAGGCTAGCGCTCTACCACTTGAGCCACAGTGCCACTTCC